CATCTTGGTGAATCTGCTCTGCACCTCAAGTACATTCACATCCTTCCTATAATGTGGTGATCAGAACTGCATAGTACTCCAGCGGTGGCCTAACCAACCTTCATGCTCTTATAATCTATGCCATGATTGATAAGGGCAAGTGTCCCATATGCCTTCTTAACTACCTTATTAACATTTCTTGCTACGTTTAGGGATCTATGGAAAAGCACCCCAAGATCACTCTGTTCCTCCAAGCTTCCTGGTGTCCTGGCATTCATTTGCCCTTACCTTGCTACTTCTTCTGAAGTACATCACCTAATACTTTTCAAGGTTAAATTGCATTGGCCACAGATATGCCCACCTGACCAACTCGTGTATATCTTCCTGAAACCTAAGATCTTCTTCCTCCCAGTTAAGTCACATTCATTATTTTGACCATTAACGTACAATGGCAGCTATGTGTACCATCTAGAAGATGCACAGCAGCAACTCACCAAGGCTCTTTCAACAACACCTTCCAAATCGTGACCTAGAGGGACAAGGGCAGCAGATGCATGGGAACACCACCATCCACAAGTTCCTTTCTGAGCCACACACCACCATGATTTGGAAATATAACTGCTGTTTCTTCACCAGCGCTGGTCAAACTACTAACAGCACTGTGGGTACACCTACACCATGAGGACTACTGCTGTTCAAGAAAGCATCTGGCCACTATCTCAATGGCAATGAGGGACGGACAATAAATGCTAGCCCAGTTAGCAATACTCAGATCTCATGACAGAATTTTTAAAATATGATAAATTTGGTTTGGCTTTCCTGGGTTTGGAGGGAGAAGTTCCTGCTCCTAACAATCACCCGTGATCAGTTTGGAAATGTCTGCATAGAGATAAAGTGCTGAGGACATGGTCAGACTTGAATCTAACAACTGCTTGGCTGACCAGCCTACCAAACGCACTGAGTTTCACATATGAATATGATGTAGTTGAGAAAGATTCTATTGAGTGACTAGATAACCTTTTTCCAACTAACAGGCATTTCTTTCAAATTTGGAAAGAGAGATATTTACATTCTGAAGAAAAAAATGTTTGTAATAACATGAAGATTAAAATTGTTTGTTAGTTACATTGAAATTGTTCACATATTTCTATTTCACCTCTTAGCATAATCATGAATGGATTACCAATGTAAGTCGGTAGGCAAAGTAATTACTGAACAAATAAAATTAACAATTCATCTTGCATACTTAGAAAGGCTTCTAATTGTAAAATTCGTTTACCATTTGTGGTTCACAAAGTACCTTTCAGGAAAAATGCCACCCTCAGATTCAGCTTATATCACTTAAAGCAAATGAAATTCCTCTGTCAGAGTGAATAAGCAGTTTGAATCTCAGCACAAGCCACCATACTCCACAAAACAAACAGCACCTGCTGGTTCCCATCACTAAATGCTAATAATGTGTAAACTTGGAAGTGCCTAATTCATTTAAACAAAGCAGAAAAAAATCTTTGTTTCCAAAACAGAGCCGCATTTAAACTTAATGAAGTGAAGACAGGCAAGTTAAATCTTTTAAACTATAATTGAAATAAATTTCATACATTTAGAACATTACATACAGCATTTCACTAGCTTATATTTTTGTTTATTTCTCAATACTGGTAGACATTAAATACATTACTCATTTTTGATATACCTGGGAAATCTAAACAAAAAATCTACATTAGCAATGTGGCACAGTGAGATGGAGTCACACATTTAAGGAATGCACTTTCACTTCCCAATTTCTAATCTCAGTCATTTCACTGCAAGGACATGCTGAATACAAACTGGTCAGCTGGCAATAGGAAGAGGGAATTCTAAATGGAGTTTCATTATCGTACTACTAACTAGCTTAATCAAGATGTAGATGCAGGCTTAGGATGATTTGCATTGCCCAGCTGGACAATGAAGGGCCTTCCATTGTAATTAAAAATAATAGGAACATAGTTGGATTTAACATGTCAATCAAAATCATGCTTATTCTCTTGTTGAGATGAAAAAGGCAGAAAACCTTAATCTGTTTACTGCATCATGTGCCTTAAACATTCTGTAGCACTTCACAATGAACACAGTTAATGCTGACCTGTAGCTAAACATGACAGTCAGTTTGCACAAACAACAGATGAATGTTTTGCATTGTTGATCAGGAGAGAAATGCTAGCTCCAGAACAGTCACACTCGAATTCAACTAATGAAGCATGGTGGCCTTAATATCTTATTTTTAAAAACATAACTCATGCTTACTACGGCACATCAGGCCAACCTACATTCAGAGAAAAAAAACCTTGTGAACATATGGCATCGTAAAGGTTATAAAATGTCCCAAAAAGCAATATGAAAACTATCCGGCTGAGTGGCCAATAGGCTGGTCAAAATGTCACCTTAGAGGAGGAGGGGAAGGCAGCGTAGAGGTGGAGAGACTTAAGCCCTAGACACCTGAAGCCATGACCACCAAGAGTGGAGTGAAGGACGTGGAGATTCAGAAAAAGCCAGATTTGCAGAAATGCTTAAATCTTGAAGGGTTGCAAGGCAAGTCAGGTTATACAGATAAGGAGGGAAGAGGATATGAATTGAACATGGAATAAAAATAATAAAAAAGGATATGATTTATATAGGATGGTACTGTAGAATGACAGAAATTGAGATTAGAGTTGAATTTAAAATTCAGAGTCAGGCTTATTAGAAATTAAGCAGAATAGTTTGTGAAATAACTTTGAATCAACTATCCTATTGTAAGAAACTTACTTCTATCTACAGCTATCTTGCTTTATACTAGCCATCACTCTAGCCCGCAGGGAGTTTTATCTATTCCCCCTTCAATTTTCCAACAGTTCCTTGATATCATCCAGGGTCAAGAGCCATCATACTCTCACCACATCTCTCATGTTTAATTTTTTTGTTTATTTTTGGACCATGTAATGAGGTCTGGAGTTTAACAATTCTGGCAGAACCCAGTTGAGCATCAATGAGCAGGTGCTGCATTCGTCAAATCTGATTAGCAAATGAAAACTCCCGCTAGTAGTATATTTATAAATTGAAATGAAATTTCAAGGAAATTAACAGAGATCAAGTAGATAAGTAGAGTTTTAATGCAAAGATTCAAAGACATGTTCCAACCCACCAAGTTTAAGGGGTCTTGCAGCACATAATGCCAATTCCCCCATCTCTGGGTCACAAGGTCCATGTTCAAGTCCCACCCACAAAGGAATTGTCACAGTATATTTAAACAGGTTGATTAAAATATTTAAAAATCCAAAATATTTATCTAAATTCACTGAATATTAAAGATTATTTAAAATATATGAAATGATTAACCTGTATCCATACATCAATAATTGAATCTGCAATGAAATCGTCTGTAGATTGAAGGGACAAGCAGCAATTCAGTATGGTTTACAAAATATTATAAACATGAGCAACTAAGTTAAAATGTCTAACAATATCACGAGGTGACACTACTAATTCAGAATTAGTTTTGAGGTAGAATCAAAAATTTTCTTTTCCCTACCATTTCTTAACTTCAAACTTTGAAATCTAAATCCCAGGAAAGCACATTCATGCTTAGTCAGCTGATCAACAACAAATGATGGGGTTCAAATTTTGGGCTTCATCAGATATTAACCACATTTATACATTATCTTTAGTGATACACCTCACTGGGGCTATGCACTGGAAATCAAGCTCCTCTGTTCCTGGAGTCATCATGGAAGATAAAGATTTTAAATTAGAATTCCCCAATTTTCCTGTCTATTGGACCCAAGTTCAAAAAACGCATAGACCAGATTTCTGTACTTAACAAGAATTATTATTTATTACAAATCATCTCTAACGATAAACAATTATAAACAACTAACATATAACTCTACTAGTCAAAACTCATTTCCAAAACTTCCCTACTAGAAATATATATGGAGATATAAAAAAGAGACATTATGGACAGAGGGAAAGACTGGGAAGGCAATTCAGTAGTTCCCATCCACAGGGTATGCTGATCAGAACATTGTTTATCAATCTTCCTTTGCCAGACCCTGTCATTTCTTTGCAAAAATTTTAGGATGAATTCTTTACACTTATGAAAGGTATGAAAGACTTATCAATAACAAGTCACAGCAACTGACGTGGGGAAATAAACTGGCCATCTTCGGTTGGAAATGCTTCTTACTGCAGAGCAGAACATAGCTCTTTCCAGAGGTCCAATGGCTTCTCCCTCAAACATTCACACTCCCAACCTATCCAGCTACCTGGGAGCCAATCACCAAGTTGTTAATAGGCAGGAGATCTTTGTCGATAACTGGTCACTAGTCCACAGACCAATTAGCTACTTATCAGCCAAATCTCCATTCACATACAACTCCCTTGGCTCCAGCTCATCTGCAACTCGACATTCCTCATTTTATACAGCAGCTGTGTAAACACTTCCTAAAATTAGTGCCAGGTAACTTGCTGTTTTTATCCCAGTTCAGTCCACAATCAAAAATATGGAAAAATGAAAAGATATGGTCCTTACTTTAGCTTAGCCAAGCACTACAAAAAGAAACATGGTGTGTGAAATTACTCTTAAAAGACAAAATATTGAACAACCATGTTTGCAAATAAAAAGCATAAAACTCTGTACCCACACTATTACTTGCCAAATCATTTTGTCCAATTCATTTTTATTATAGTTTAACATTAACTAACACAAATTTATGCACATTGCTCTAATATAAATGTAAGTTAAAAAAATCTTGAGTATGACAGATCAGTTCATACAAAAATTAAACAGAAGTGATAAATTAGGGGTGAAAAATCACAACATTGCAGCAAGCTTATTGGGCTGCAGCATTTTAGTTGCTGTTAACAGTAGATTGCACCAATTTTCACACAACACACACTTTTAAAACAAGATATTTATCTCTTGCATGTTCCATGTTTTGACATTTATTTTATAATAAAAGTAGCCTCATTAGAAGTATTACATTCTTATTTATTTTGCGACTTACCTTTCTTGACCCTTTTGACCTGTCTTCTAGCCAGTCAGCTACCTGGTCCTCAATATCCTCGATAGTTGAAGCTTCTTCATGTAACGCTACATAGGCAACACTTCCAGAGGTAGGGGCTGTATACACTGGAAACTCAGATTTTGGCTTCTTTACTTTTGGCCTTTTTTCTTCTGCAAGGCACAAAAATTACTTTTCAGCTTAAACTGTTGAAAGATCAATAAAAAAGCTTTTTGCATTTTTAAAAAACTGACATTCTATTAACACTTGCAATATATACCTAAATGGCAGTGAAACAATACTATTAAGTAATTAGGTTACCTTCAGTGATTCATAAATGTAAATTAGGAATAAAAGACAACATCAATTATTTTAAATGCTATAATGATATCGAGCAAGCTGTGCACCGCTGTAAAGGAAAAAGGTTTTTCTTGTTTTTAAATTTGGCCACAACAAAGAAATGGAAAACTGCCAAAAAATCTCAGAAAGGTGCAGACATAACATCATAGCTCACTATGTCTGTGCAAAGATGCACCCAATAGGGTAATATTTAGCTTCTGCAGATTATCTATTCACACCTCTCGTCTTCTGCTGCAACACATTGCTTTAATGAGACCCCATGTTGCATTCTCTCAATTTGCAAATTGCATCGAATTTCCCACTACCGTACTACTTCTGTCCCCAGAGGACACTGCACAATCTCCGCTGAAAAGCAGATAGACATGCAGGCAGATTAGCAATTAGGTCATGAAAAACAGCCAGAATAAAACAGCTCCATGTCAATCTGCATGATTTGCATTTACCCTCTCAAAAAGATGTTAATGTTATCATTAATTGTGCTTCCAAACTACAATTTCCCATATTAAGAACACAAGCAACAGCTAGGAGATACACAGCAACATCCTTTTGTTCAGTTTTGAACATCGTGGTTATACTGAAATTTATTTTTCTACAGCAGTATGATTGTTTGGGACTATCATATTCTGTTATTCTTAAGACACAAGCACTTAGCTTACTGTAGGGGTTTTGGTAACCCAAACAGTTCCTGAAATTCTCCTTCTCAGATGGAATACATTCAGAATGCTGATCCCATTAATTCCAACGGTGTACATTAACTGATATTAATTCAGCACAGGAACTGATGTACACTGAAGTTATTTCAAAAACAAAACACGGTGTGTACAGTTATTTCTGATAAGTGGTTGCTGACTTACCATTCACAAAATGACACTGCTTGAAATAAATTGACTTTTAGCATCTGGGTTAAACCGGAAAACAGAAACACCCAGGTACTATTTTACAAATTCAGACAAACATTTTAACATGTTACATATGAACAAGGAACCAATGGGGCCCCTGAGCGTGGTGCGCCATTTGGTAAGACCACAGCTGATCTGATTGTGGCCTCAATTCCATTTCCCTGCCTATCCCCTATGTGCTTAAAATTCTTGACTAACAGAAGAGTCAATCTAACTTTGCTTTAAAAATGTTCAAGGAACCTGCCTGCACCACTCTATGGGGAAGAGAATTACACAGACTGTCAACCCACAGAGTGAAAAAATCTCTTCAGCTTGGTCTTAAATGAGAAACTAATTATTTTCAAACTGTATCTTTTAATTCTAGTCTCTCCCACAATGGGAAACAACCTTTCAGCATCCAACCTGTTAAATCCCTTCAATATATTATGTTTCAACAAGATTGCTGCTCATTTGGGGTGGCACGGTGGCTCAGTGATTAGTACTGCTGCCTCACAGTGCCAGGGACCCAGGTTCGATTCCACCTTCAGGTGACTGTCTGCACATTCTCCCCGTGTCTGCGTGGGTTTCCTCCGGGTGCTCCAGTTTCCTCCCACAGTCCAAAGATGTGCAAGGTAGGTGGATTCACCATGCTAAATTGCCCACAGTGTCCAGGGATGTTTAGGTTAGACATGGGAAATGCAGGGGTAGGGGAATGGGTCTGGGTGGGATGCTCTTCAGAGGGGCAGTGTGGATTTGTTGGGCCAAATGGCCTATTTCCACACTGTAGGGACTCTATGATTCTTCTAAAGTCCAAAGAATACAGGCCCAAATTGTTCAACCTTTCTTCAGGAGATAAAACCTTCATCCCAGGAATCAGTTGAGTGAAACTTCTCTGAACGACTTCAAATGCAGTTATGTCTTTGTCTTAAATAAGGCGACAAAATTATACACAGTACTTCAGACCTGGTCTCATAAATGCCTTTTACAACTGCCTTCCTAATCACATTATGAATCTGTATAATAACTTTGTGATTCATGCACCTGATCACCAAGTTCCTCTGTACTGCAGCATTTTGCTATCATTCTACATTTAAATAATATGCTTTATTTCTTCTTTCACCTTTGGTCTAAAGGTGGATACGTTCACATTTTTCCATATTACATTCCATCTGCCAAAATTTCACCAATTCATTTAATCTATTTATATCCCTCTGTAGATCCAAATGTCTTCTTTACAACCTACTCTGTAACTACCTATGCATTCCCTTATGGTCACTGGTGGACAGTATTCAGATCCCAACATGCTCAAATCTTTTAGCGGATGGTTTTCAAAACATTCATGAGAAGACATGACTCTTGAAAAAATAACACTGGTCCCTTCAAAAAAAAGAGATTGTGGAGTTTCCCACAAATTTCATTTCTTAAGTTGTTTCAATGTAAACATTGTAAATATGAAAGATGGGTGTTTGAAAATTGTCAGCTCTGTTTGTTCTATTCATGCATACCATGGAAATTTAGAGGCAATTCTATACAAGTCTAAAGCAGAGCTTGCTATAATATATATGATGTTATATTGCAAGGTTCTGTCCCTCAGACACCGTAATAAGCTGAGTGAATTATTTTGCTAGTGATTCTTGGTGACAATGATTAATAGATGAATGTCATCACTTAGCCTATAGATTATTGTAAAATAAAGTTATGTCAGGAAGAAAAGTGCAGTATTTTACGATAGCTGTTCAGTATATATTAACTAGCTTCACTTCGCTGACAAAAGCACACAATATTTACACAACACAGATGTTTCTTACTCTGCACAGCTTCAAACTGGGCTTGAGTTTCTGCTTCTTTTTCTTTCACTTTCATTTCTTTCCATTCCAGATAAAAATCCTTAACATTCTGTAACAAAGCACATACACATATTGGAGCCATCAAATTAACTTTTAAAAAACACGGAATCAGTGCAAAATTTTTCAGCAGTCGTCATTATTTTAAATAATAAATATTGCTGACATTACTAGCAAAAGAAAACACAACATAAGAGATATAAATTTAGAGAATCAAGTGAAAGTATTCTTCTATGTAAAACAGTGGAATTGGCATGATCCAATGTGATTGCCACATTTCAAAATTAGTTGTTGATTTTCAAATAATCTGAACCTGCAAGCATTGCACACTAAGCAACTTATTACTTAGACAGATAAATTCGTAAGCTATTCTCCATATGCTGATTGATCAACAGCAATCTTAATACAATAACTAGCAAGAGGCGGATTTTCATAAATTGCTTATAGAATGTAAATTTGATTCGATAAAGTGATGCGGAACACCCAGCCAAAAACAACATTAAAGGATCAAAAATAAATGAGGTTACTAAAATTTCTCCAGTGATAGAAGAACAAACTTAGGTAAAGAACACATCTTTCTCGACTGCATACAAGATGAAAATATGCATTGTTCAGGGGTCGAAAGACAGGGACCAGGGTATTTCAGATACAAGACATTGCAGTTGGTGCTGTTCCACTTATGTCCATTGAGAATCAAGCCTTATATTTGACTAAAACATATTTTAAAAGTATTCAACATTTAGCTGAGCCAAGCAGAGTCAACTCTGCACTCATGTGGAACCTAATGTAACTTATCTCAAGCAGAAACAGCAGCAATTCATCCGCAAGGTTGGTTATTAAGCAAGCTACAAAATCCACAGATTTTGTACAGGACAAGTTCCTACCAACACCATCAGTTAATATTAGACCAGCTGATCTTTCTGGTTGAGACACACCAACAACAGAACGAGAAAAGAAGATGCTGCTGATAGATTTTTAAAGTTAGAACTAAATTGAAAAGCAGAACCTCCAAGGTAATAATCTCTGGATTACTATCCAAGCCATTGATAAACCAGCATAGGGTAAATAAAGCCCAGCAGTTAAACGAGTGTCTCAAAGACTGATATATGTGGAATGGGCTTCAGTTCACTGACAATTGGGTAGAAGGAAACCATTTGCATGGAATGGGCTTCATTTGAACTGTTCTGGGACCAGTGTCCTGACAAAATGAATAACTATGAGTCTAGAGAGGGCTTTAAATTAATGAGAGAGGCACAGAGAGTTTGCGATAGGGGAATTGTAAGCTTACAAAGCAAGTGGCTATGACCTCATTACACAGCAGCTATTTCCGTTATGATATCAAGAGTGGTACAGGAAGGAACTGAGTGTACAAATATAGAAGAACAGCAGTAAATAGGATCAAAGGGGGAAAAATAGTAAAAAGACAAAGACATTGGCTCTCTAATCAAAACTGCATAGTATTCGGAATGAAATAAATGAATTAAGGACACAAGAATTGTCGGGTAGCATTGCTGGTACTGTATGGAAGAAATACAATAGTAAGAGATGGTTTAAGATTGCAAGATACAGAATCCATATAGTTGGAGGCAAGAAACAAAAAGGGAAAGACCACACTGGTACAGTAGTCTATAGATTCCCTAACAGTTGCTATATAATGGGACAGAAAATAAATTAGAAGATAATAAGAGGTCATTAAAAAAAAGCACAACATTTTCCATGGGTGACTTTAAGCTTCATGTAGATTGGACTATCAGATTGGCAAAGGTAGCCAGAAAGAAGAATTCAGAGTGTATTCAGTACAGTTCTTGGAATAATTAGTTGTGGATCTAACTAGGAATCAGACTACTTTGGATCTGTTGAAATGAGTCAGGTTTAATAAATTATGTCAGAGTAAAAGACTGCCGAGGAAACAGTGACCATAATATGGCAGAATTTAGCATTCAGTTTGAGAGGAACATTAGACAGAAACAAATGTGCTCAACTTAAATAAGGGCAATGACAAAGCATTGATGGCAGAGCTAGCGGGGAAAGGAGGTGAACAGCAAAAATGATTGACAAACAAGGGTAAATATTTAAGAAAATAGTTCATGGCTCAGAGCAAAGATAGATCCCAGCAAAGAGAACGAATTCTCAGAAGGGGATAACTTAACCATGGTTAAACAGGGAAGTTAAGGATAGTATCAAATTGAAAGAAAAAGAACAATGTGGCAGAGATTAGTGTAAAGACAGAGGATTGGGAATGTTTTAAAGAGCCAACAAAAGACAAAACAATAATGAAAAGAGGGAGACAATAAACTTTGAGGGTAGACTTGCAAGTAACATCAAGCTGACAGCAAAAGCTTCTTTAAATATATAAGAAAGGGAAGCCAAAGTGAACATAGGCCTCTTAGACAATGAGACTACGGCAATAATGGGGAAACAAGAAATGGCAGAGGAGTTGAATAAATACTAGAATCTCCACAGGAGAAGATACTAATTACATTTCAAAAATGTACAAAGGTTGAACAGTTTGGGACTCTACTCACTGCAGCTTAGAAGAATGAAAGGTTATCTCAATAAAACATATAGCATTCTTAAGGAGCTTGACAAGATAAATTCTGAGAACGTTTCCCCTCAGGGGAAAGCCTAAGACCAGAGGGCATAGTCATAGACTAAAAAGGGTGCTAATTTCAGATTGAGATGAGGAAGAACTTCTTCTCGTCTTTGGAACTTGTTGCCACAGATAGCTGTGGGGACAGAGTGCTTGTGTATATTTAAGGCTGAGATGGATTCTTGATCAGTAGACAAAATCAAGAGTTACTAGGAAAAGGCAGGAAAATAGATGGGAGGAGTGTCAGTCAAGCCATGATCCTACTGAGTGGCGGTGTAGGCATGACATGTCAAATAGCCTACTTCTGCCCTATTTCATATGGTCTAAAATTACTAAATCACCAAGTGGCAAAAGGAGATGAAACAAATACAATGACCATCATGAGAAAAAAAGTGCTAAGAAAAATAATAAAGACCAACAAGTCCCCTGGACCTGATTGGATGCATCCTAGGATATTAAAACAAGTAGCTATAAAATCAGTGGCTGATGCTGCCAAGGATGCTTAGGTTCTCGAAAAGTTCCAGAGAATTGGAAAATTGCCAAAGTCACACCTTTATTTATAAAGGGAAGGAGACATAATGCAGGTAACAAGAGTCCAGTTAGTTTAATGCCTGTTACTAGAAAATGTTGCAGGGTCTATTAAAAATGATGTAAAACAAGAGCATTTAGAAATACGTAATCTGATGAAGCAGAGACAGCATGGCTTCATGTAGGGGAAATCATACCTGACAAATTTGCTAGAATTCTTTGACCAGGTAATGGGCATTAATACATAAAGGGGAAGTGGCCGGCGCAATAAAATGCTTGGGTCTTAAATAGCCTAGCAAGCCACTTTGTTTCGGTGCAATAAATGCTGGTTTTGCCAACTACACCCACATCCCACTAAAGAACAAAGATAAAAAAAGTAAATAAGTAATGAGAGTTCACAGCCAGAAAGTAATTTAGAACTGCTCGAAGAAAATTGGCTTACACAAGTAAACTTTCAAAGGAACATTTGGTTGTCTTAATTTATGTCTGACAGCAGATGTGTTCCTTACTCCAAAATGAAATTATAAACAGCTATTATAAAAACCAAATTGTCCATAAACATGAAGAATCAGAGATATCCAGACTGCAGAACATGAAAAAATCCAACCCAACAGTGGGGATTGTGATGCACGGCTACTGTAACTGGACTCCTCAAGGCAGATACCACACAAATTTTATGTTGACCTTCTTATCCAAATAATTTCTGAATAAAGTGAAATATGTGCCATGACTAGATGGATAGACTAGATACAGGCCCTTCGCTCCAACCAGTCCAGGCCGACCGTAATCCCAAACTATACTAATTCCACCTGCCATATCCCTCCAAACATTTCTTATTCATGTACTTATCCAAAATATCTTTTAAACTTGTAACTGTACCAACATCCACCATGTCCTCTGGAAGTTCATTCCACACACAAAGCACTCTTTAAAACTAAACTGGCCTATTTTAGATTCTCTCAGCTTAAAAATATGTTCCCTAGTCTTGAATTCCCCCACCGTAGGGAAAAGACACCTGCTATTCACCTTATCTGTACCCCTCATGATTTTATAAACCTCAGTAAGGTCACCCTTTAACCTCTTACACTCCAGTGAAAGGAGTCCCAGCCTATCTAGTCTCTCTTTATAATCAGACCCTCCATACCCGGCAAGATCCTGGTAAATCTCTTCTGAACCCTCTCCAGCTCAATAGTATCCTTCCTATAACTCTGCCCTCCTCAATCTTCTGGTTACATACTCAAAAAACTCAATCAAGTTTGTGTGACACAACTTCCCTCGCACGAAACCATGCTGACCATCCCTAATCATTCCTTGCCTCTTCAAATGGCTATAAATCCTATCTTTCAGAAACACTGCAAACAACTCACCCACCAAAGTCAGACTCACAGATCTATAGTTCCCAGGCTTCTCCTTACATCCCTTCTCAAACAAAGGCACAATATTAGCCATTCTCCAGTCATTTGGTACTGCACCCATATATATATATAAAAGATACAAATATTTCTATATGTGGTCCTATAATTTTCTCCCTAACTTTCCACATCATTCTGGGATACACTAGATCAGGTCCCAGAGGTTTAGCCACCTTTATGTTTCCAAAGACGTCCTCTTCTATAATGTGAACTATTTTCAAAACATCAATATTTATTTCCAGAGTTCTCTAGCCTCCATTTCTTTCACCACAGTAAAAACTGACGCAAAGTATTCATTTACTATCTCACCTATCTCTTGAGGTTCAACACAAAGCTGACCTCTTTGATCTTTAAGGAGCCCTACTCTCTCTCTAGTTGCTCTCTTACTCTTAATTACTTGTAAAATCTCTTTGGATTATTCTTAATCCTGTTTGCCAAGGCTATCTCATATCGTCTCTTTGCCTTCCTGATCTCCATCTTAAGAATACCTCTACACTCGTTATACTGCTCAAGAGATTCATT